ACACGCCACAACAGTCCTTTCTGTTGATTTTTGGAGATTCAGTTGCCGCTTGAGTGCTCTCTCAGGGCCAGAGTTCCAAGAATTCATGTTGATATACCTGAGCAAGGCCGGCAGTGAAGCTAGTCATCGAATTGAGCATAGGCTAGACGTCCTGTGGGCAAATGATCAGACAAGGCTTTCGTTTGTCGAGGTCTTTTTGTAGGCCCTGGCGTCAAATGAGTAGCGTTTTATTTGGGGATAATGGGTACCATAACCAGCTTTCTACCATTATCTGCCGCCTCTAACCTTATTCTAGACTAGTTATTGGATGAGCCAAAGTGCTCCACGCCTGATTCGCATGACCGACTGATGTCCGTGAATAAATATTATGGTACCCAATATAGAGTAAGATAATATCCTCCTTTTGGGGTACAGTATCTCATATAAGGCATATAATCTTACTAGGCTTCACTACAAAAAAAACGCTACTCAAATGCAAGTCACTTGTGCACTCTGGCGACCAGCCAGAACTTTTGAAACTTGCTTCTGTGGGCATTGTGAGTGCAATATTCAGTGTAGAATTTCAGGGTGCAAGTTGCCTGCATGGTGTAAAGATCTGTCATCCTTGACGATAGAACACAGGGTACAGGGTCGGCCGTGGACACTCCACGTCAGCTTCTCGAGGCCAACAGCTGAAGGTAGAACAACATGTTCTGGTGGTTCAGTCCAAAAAGTGTGTGTTGCTGACTCAGCAGTGGCACTTGCAGGCGATCCGGGGGTCTGAGGATGTAGAGGATCTTCGAGAGGCTTGTGCTGCCATGCTGCGTTGCCCAAAATCCTTTCAGAATTCTGCACAATACTTTCTGGCATCTGCAGATCCAAACGATAATGAAGGCGTACTTGGTTTTTGTTGGAGCCCTAGATGCTTGAGATGTGTCTGTATGCAGGACAACCCCAGCTCGAGCAGATTCAAAGTTTGTTTAGCGAGTTTAGTGCTTTTCCTTGTCTCCCGAAGGACCAACCCTTCAAGAAGCCCGGTGTGTGACCTGCTCATGCCTTCCACAACTAAGGTAAACAGTCAAGACACCACGGCTTGGGAGCTGGCCGCGCAAGTGGAAGGTCTGCCCTCCTGTCTGTTTAGATCTGACCAGCGGCAAAACCAGGGTTCGATGATTTGACGGTAGGCAAGCTTGCCATCGCCCACTACAACACCCTTACAGAACCTGCCAATGTGCAAGGCATGAGCTTTGAAGGCCAGAATGTTCTTCGAGAACGTTCGGCACTGTTCAGCTTTTTAGTGGCCTTGCATGCCTTGCTAACAGGCTTCATTCAAAAGCGCCTGGCTATCATGAAGGACCTGGGCCTGGCGGCCTGGCCTCAAGTCTGGTCTCGACGAAGCTGTAAGCTCGAGCTCTGAAGAGCTGGCCTGCATGCTGCTTTCTGCTAGACTCCGAACTCTAATCGAGAGAAGGCAGCTGGGAAAGCAGTAAGAGTCTAAACTGTATGCGCAGGACCTGAATCACGCCGCTCACTTCTGCGAGAATTACTTCCAGACCTTGTGGTACAAACGGGCACAGGCTGGGGATAGGGCGCACGTAATTCAGCATTTCATGGAAAGGGAGCTGATGGCAGCCCGTGCGTGATCTAATCCAAATCTGAATTTTCTGGAGTTTCTTTAGACAACTCCGACTGAAATGGGAGCGTCAGCCTGAAGCTTTCCAGCAGCTTCAGGCCATTGGCAGATCAGCAGGCGGCTCGGTTTGCTACACCTGTGGCCTCCTTGCCTTAGGAGGAGTCTCCACACAGGGCTTGTACATGGCACCAGAGGCTGTCGAGACTGACATCAACAGCGTCCGTCCCCAGTTTGAAAATGCGTGAGGCCCTCAGAGCTTGGAAGATACACGCTTGATGCGGAAGTGGTGGCATTGAGGATGCAACTCTACAAGGTTGTCCAGGATGCCTCTGAGAGGTGCCGTTTCAAACATGTGTAGAGGAGTGCAGGGACTCCAGTGCCTCAAAGCCGAGAGACTGCAAAGGCTCTTATACGACAAGACTGCAGATACAGTCGGCTCATTGTACCCTGAGGCACGCTGACTTGTTCTTTAGAGGACGACAGCTGTTTTGTTGGTATACAGACTCGCAGTGGCCATCTAGTCTTCAAAATCAATGTTTTGCAAAAATGTGCATGTTTGAAGATGGGTCCCCACCACGCTCTGAGTGTTGGTGTCTTTTAGTGCCTGGCTGTGGTCCCCACACCTCAGGTACCAGACATATACAGACGCTGCCGTGCAACGCGCAGGTACAGCCAACAGCCACGACGACACCAGAGGCTGGAGCTCTGGGGTGTTGCTGCTCTTTGCCCACTGGCCCGTGGAGTTTAACACCTGCTTCGGGCATGATTTAACTGTCGGCTTTGTGGGCGCTCTAGGACGGCAGCAATTGCTCCCCGATGTTGTGAAAGCATGATCATCATGATTTCAGGTTGTCCTGGTTGCCCTAGCCCTGGCATTTAGAAAAAAATGTCATGCAGATGCTGACTTAGATTCTGCTCAGGTGAATGTGGTAGGCAGTTGGGCTTCCGTGGGTGCCACTAGCTCAGATGGATGCATTGTAACAGTTCATGTGCTGGAGTGCCCTGTAAGAACTGAAGGTTGTCACTTTCTGGAGCATATTGAAGCATCGAACTACGTGGCAGACTGAAACACTCCAGCGACGAGGATCCTAGCATTCACGTGCCTCTTCAAGCACTTAGCTATCGAGGCCGTTGAGGGTGTTCATTCTGGGAGATATGGAAGGGCGCGGGGCCCAGGCCGAATTCGCCTGTGCAAAGCAGCCTTTCCAGCTTTTCTGCTAGGATTCGGGATTGGATCGCACCTTAGAAATTTCAGTGTTGATGCGAAGTTTGCATAAGAAGCGGGGTCATGTCTTGCTGAATCCAGGCGACGGGTGGTAAGTCAGATGAAGGCAGGGGCACCGCATTTCATGTCACAAGCTTGGATGCGGTGGCAAGTTGGTGAGCATGAAGTGCAAAGCTTGGTCATCGGCATGCGCTTGAGCAACCTAGGCAGCAAGTGCGCTTTGACTACATTGACATCTTCTTGCATCCGCCAGAAGCCTAGCCTCTGCTGAACATATTTCGAAAGTGCCAGAAGAAAGCAAGTCGATCTAATAGCCTGGACAGAACGCAAGGCGCATGATCCAGTACTTTCGCCGCCTGCCAGACGAGTGCGTGCAACTCTTGGCATGCTAAAGCATTCGCCAGTTAATTAAACAGAGTTTCTGGGATCGTGTCAAATGTGGTGGCTGATGACTTGTTCAGGCGTCAACCAACATGAGCAAAGCCCTGTTCGCTCGCTTGTTGTGCACCGGTCCCAGATGGCATCTATTCTTCACTTGCGTTTGCAGAGGAGCCATTTCAGATGTCTTCCCTTGGTTTTGGCATTTTTGGTATGTTTTGGTATGTGGTAGTTTGCCTGTTATGGGGGGCTGTTTGAACAGGCTGGCCCACACCATCACTTTTTTGCCGTAGACGCCAGAATTGCAGGATATTAGCTGAGCTGTTTGTCAATTCCAGGTAAATCTGCATGAGCTGTGCTGACTTGCCCTTGACTTTGTGTGCCTCAGCTTTACGTCTCAATGGTTGAAAGTAGCTGCCGTAGCTGTCAGGGGCAGGTCGCTCGGTAGGCCTTGTGGCGCCCGGACGTAACCTGTCACAAGGTGCGCCTCATTTCGACATGCCCAACTTCAAGTAGCCTATCATAGCCTATCCTACGGTTCCTGGCCTGCCATGAGAAGACGTACTGACGTACTTTGTCCTCTGCAGAAATCGGAATCCGCAGGATGTCATTCGATCGAAGTCGAAGCCCAGTTCGGCCCTCGAAAGCATGTTGGAGGTTAGTGACAGGCCCGCTTCAGTGAAATCTCCCGCCTCTGGCTGCCAAAGACAATTGAGGTCGCCTCCAGGTCGAGGATGGCAGGGGATGTCAACGTGCCTGCCTTTGCAAGCTTCTACTCTTCACGGACAGTTCATCATATAAGCTTATAGAGTCGCCCCATCCTTCGTGTCTTGAAGTCCAAAACTTGGATAAGTCCAAAACTTGGATGCATAACAGCGGCTTGAGGTGAAGAAAAAAAGGAAAGAGCTCTTCGCAAAGGACCACACAAACGTTGCCATCATATACTACTGGGCGATCATTGCAGCTCAGAACGATCCTGCAACCTTGTGTGCAATTTGTTTGAAGGAGCTGGGCTACCAAGATGAAAGCAATCCGCCTGAAACCTGGTGAAGTTTGCCATGTTACGTTGCACCCTGAGAACGTGATCTCAAATCAAGCATCGTGACAAGGTTTGGTGACAACACGCTCACCGAGAAGTTTACCTGGAAGAAGAAGAATGAATACCTGCAAGCAGCTGGCCTCGGCCTGAGAGACCGATTTGCCTGAGAAGGGTATCCGGCAGTGCTGGCGGTGTTGCACCTTGCTGCACCTGATTGTGCCTGAGGTTTGTACAGACCAACCTCAAAAGACCAGCAGATGCAGAAGATGCAAGCAAAGATTCGAGAGATTCAGCAGGCCAGGTCATTGCCCCGCCTCCATAAGCCAGCGAACGCTGAAGCAAGTGCCGAGCTGTGACTTGGAGTGCCCGGATTCGGAGCGTGATGACGCGGTGAGGTTTCTCCATACAAAGAGTAAATCCAGATGCTGCCATTAATTCAAGCAAAGTGCCAGGTCAAGAAGCGGCGTGATGAGCGAGAAGTTGAAAGGCAACTTTTGGAGCAACAGCGGCTCGAGCATGACAAGGCACGGCGGAGCATGCTGCAAAGTGACAGATGTGCCGCTGCCTTTGTTTCCCTGCCGTCGGTTGGCCATGTCATACCCTGGCTGGGCTTCAGGAGCTTCATGATGAGGAGTACGGCGAGTGGCTCACCAAGGAAGAGAAGTTCCATTTGGACAATGCGAAGGCTCGGGTCACCTTGCAAGAGCGAGCCCGTCGTTGACGGCTTTGACCAAATCTTGGCCACACGACATTAATTCCTGAAATGTTGTCACAACAGGCACGAACAAACCTGCGAATAGATCAGGGACGAGAAAGGCTCGAGCGTCACATTTTTTGCTTGTTTTTTTGGGCATTGATTTCGCTCGCCTTTCGCTTGGCCAGGCCTTTGGATCTGGTAGCAAAGGCTCTGCACATTGCCGAAGGAGAGACATACGAGGCGCGAGCCGGGAAGATGCAGAGCAAGCAATGCCTTGTTTGGCACTAGTAACTCATCTGGTCAAGGAAGTTCATGGATGCAGTGCAGTCTGGATAATAGGCGTATCGAACCCTGAAAGATGACAGATGATATGGGGCACTACACTATGTTTCTGCCCACGGTTCTGATGCAAGGAGATGACAATCCTGGACAAACCTCCACACCAGCTGTTTATCAACATGAGCGGGGACGAGGTGGTCGTTTGAGCGGAACTGTCGGTGAAGAGCGGAGATCAGCTGCCCAAGCAAGCATTAGGTGGAGGAGATACTCGATGAGATTGCCACGTTTGTCCGCATCGATTCGGAGCATAAAGAGTTTTGGCAGGCCAACGCAATCAAGACATGCCCCGTCTTTCCACCTTTGCAGTCAAGAGCTCGCGGGTCCAAATCGAAATCTCGACCACATCCCACGGCAGGTCTGTTGATATTGGGATGACTTCTGCAGTGTGATCAAGAGACGCGTGCAAAATCTCCGAGTGGAGCATGTCGTCTGACTGCACAGAGGCCATGCGCTACATTGCAAACGATGCATACGAGAGCAAACGGCGGGAGAAGGTTGGCATGTCTGGGTGTATGTGGAGGTTTGCGAGAGTAGTGGTGGGATGTAGACACTACTGTAAGCCGGTACAAGTTGTCAGGCTGGTCGATCAAAGGCGGGATCTGCCATCAGTGGCCTTGGTCCAGGAGTTGCCGAAGGCCCTTTCGCTGCGTACTCTTTGATCTCCTCCGGTGTTGTCATCCACTTATAGCTTCTTGCTTCTGTGCGACGTTCCCAACTAGCCAAGCGTTTCATCAAAAATACAGTGCTGCTTGATGCTGAATGCCAGCCTCACAACAGGTGTTGTGAATGAGATCCACGAACTTCTCTGTGTCAAGTCCAAGCGTGAGTTGGGCGATATGCTGGCACAGCACCCAGTTACAAGCTTCGTTGCTTCGGTCAGGAGCTTGCCATGTACCCTGTGTAGTGGTCCTTGATGTCATGAACGGTGTAGCGAATGGTGTCACATTAAGGTGGAGATAAATGACAGTCTCAAGGCAGATGGCGGCCATGTCGGTCACAATCTTTTACATAGACATAGATGCTTCCCATCATGGCCGGGGAGTGTGCGCGCAGTTGTCGTGCGCTGCATCTGCCAGTCCTCACCCGCCGGCATGGATACCCAGTTCTTCGAGGCAGTGGCGGCCAAGATCCCGCGTGGAGCCCAGTCCCGCGTCCAAACTCAACCTTGGAGCAGGCAACTCATTTAACTCACGGTAACCGACGGTAACCGAGGCTGTACGTCGCACGTGCTGAAGTTGAGAATTGGCATGGAAGGCAGGCTCGCTGACTCAGCTTGTGCCATCTAAAGATCTTCGGAGAACGTGACACTCCGAGACTGCCTGAGTCATGCCACCACCGCACAATCATATAAATCAAGAAGGTAGGCCCTTCGCCGCGGCTTTTGGCTCGAATCTCCTGGTCCCTTGCAGAACCTGTGTTCAGCACGCTTTGTGGGAGGACGGACTGCTGTCTCTGCTTTGCTGATGAAATACGTTCTGTCAATTGGCTGCTAACATGTAGCTGAATGTAGCTGGGCAATGTGTTTTGGCAGGAGCCAGGGCCACTCGTGGCCCGTGCCCTCTCCGCGTCTGACTTTCACAGTTTTCAGGTCAGAAGCTGGACACAGGGGGCGTGCCAGGCTCGCACGCCCGCGACTTGCGCCATGTCCAACAACCCGTACATGTTTATCGCTACAGAGCCCGTGGGACCAATTTGGCACCAGGCTGGCTCTGATGGCAAGCAGCTACAAAATCATGCCTGGCCTTCTTGGGCCTCGAACTATGTATGGATTCCTAGCTACATTGCGTACGGGCTCGTCGATATGGGGCCATTGGACGCGGTGGCCCCGATCACCGTCGTCGATGGCAAGGGCATGAACAGCCTGGGTTTGGAGAAGGTCCAGGGCAAGGAATCCAGTTCAAAGCACCAAGAGGGAAAAAGCTCTTTGGCACCTGATGAGCTGCTTGACTTGGCTTTGTTGTGGGCTTTTCAGTGATGATGCCCTTGCTTGCACCATGTGCTGTTCTCGTTCAGGCAGGAGTTCCACCAAGACATGCTGCGAAAACTTGCGCTGCATTTGGCAGCGCAGCCTGATGCGCAAGCCGGAGAACCACATGTGATGACCCAACAGCCAGACGTGCATCAGGATTGCTGCCCATAATCTACCTTTGTAGTGGATGGCAGGCCAGTAACTAAACATCTTGGATGATGTGGTTGCAGGAGCCAGAGAAGCCCGAGGGGGCTCCAGAGGAGCACTCGCCAGAGTGCATTAGCCATTTCTGCTGCTTGGTCACGTTCAGCCCGGGACATGCTGCTTCCGGCTGTGCTGGGAGCAAAGCAGCCCAGGTGAGTGCGCCAACTTCTTCAAGCAGGTTGAGAAGCCGGACGAGGCTGGTCCTTTCTGCCTCGCATTGTCAGCCCCACTCCTTCAAAAAACACACTTGATGTCCAGGCTGCCTCAGACGGCCCAGACACGCCGCGCAGCTTCTGTGCGACCCCAGAGGAGCATGGCATGCCGGTCTGGGCGGGGGAACACAAGCCACCTCAGCCACCTCCACATATGGCACCGTGACATCATTGGATTTTCATTTTTTTGATGGATGTCGCTTTGCAGAATTGTTTTTTCCTGACGCTTGCGTGTCTGAGGAGTACATGGAGGATATGAGTGAGAGCTCGTCGCACTGCGTTTGCGTGCCGTCGTACATCGTTCACGGTTTGCTGGAGACAGTGGCTTGCGGTGATGGCAAGGGACGCGAGCGCCGTCTCGGAGCTCATGACCAGGAATTCCACCAGCAGATGTTGAGGAAGCTGGCTCTGCACCTAGCAGCACAGCCAGGAAAAGACCTTCCAACCAGTGCTTACCCTCAGGTCTATGCACCCCCGAGCCCGACTTTTGGCAAAAGCAGGCCGGGCAGGAAAGGCCAGCAACAAGGAAAGGGCTTCTTCCAGCATGACCGGCCACAGCAGGAGGAATTCCATAGACAGATGTTGCAAAAACTTGCACTGCACCTGGCAGCACAGCCAGACACGCCGAGCCCCAGTCCGCACGCCAACCAGCACATCGGAGCGGCT